CTTCCTTTCACATGTTACTACACACTTTCCCCACATCTCTTTTTCAATGCATTCAATAGCCTCTTGCCTACACAACACAACACACCCTCCCCAAATGAAAAAGTCCCAAAAAGTTAGACATTACATGATGTTGCCATTTAAAGCCCTACCTTAGCACCTAATCACACAATCTCACACACTTTTCTAATTCTACTATATATTCATTCCTAACTCTTCCCTCTCTTCTTAATACTATTAGCACCAAACTCCTATTTCCCTTCATTTTCTTCTAATTTCTTCATACTCATTCTACATATTACAAAAATGTTCATAACATTGCGCCTTATGTTACTATTAATCATTGCAATATTCCTTTCACTCTTAACAAATACTAGCCAAATGGTATATCCAAAAGGAAACAACATCAACAACAACAATATGTTAAGGAAGCATGCAGTGTCACAAGGTACAAAAACCTATGCATCCACACCCTAGCACAATTCTCTAACACGGCAGGAAGAACCCCAAGCAAATGGGCGCGTGCGGGTGTATCCGTTACAATAGGTGAAGTTAAGAATGTTCAAGCATATCTTAAGAACTTAAAGTCGAGCGGGAACATGAAAGGAAGAAACAAAGTCGCGCTTTTGGATTGTATAGAGACTTTTGGCTATGCACTTGATGAGCTTCACAAATCACTTGGTGTGCTTAGAAGGTTAAGCAAAAAGACTTTTAGTACACAAATGGGAGATCTTAATACATGGATTAGTTCAGCGCTTACCGATGAAGATACTTGTCTTGATGGATTTGAAGGTGAAAATGAAAGGCGAATTAAATTGCTGCAAAACAAGGTTCAGAATGTTTCTTATATAACAAGTAATGCTCTTGCTCTTGTTAACAAACTTGCTTCTACAGGTTTCGAAAGTAGTATTATTGATCCATAGAAGTTCTTAATTTAATGGATAACTGAAATATATGTTTCTGTCTAAATTAATGTTACAGAAATAAGCAATGAAAAATGTGTCCAAAAATGTGTAAGCAAGGTTTGGCATATGTATGAATGTTGATTTTTGTTTGTAGTGATGTTGATTGGAACTTGATGCTGTTTGCTCTATGTATATGTGATGACATGCAATCCTAAATGTTTTTTAATGATGTAGATTTTATTTACCTTCAATCAAATTTCAGATAATTGGAAGATTATTGCATTATAATTTTAGGATCTATTTGGTAAAAATAGCTGATAACTGATAAATTAGTTGATAGTTTATAGCTGATAAATTATAGATAATGACTGGTAGATGATGCCCGATGACTCTTAGTCATCGGGGGTTCCCATTTTATAGACTCTGGGGTCCGATGACTCTTAGTCATATTATAGTAAAATTATTTTGTGGTATTTGTTAGACTGATTCAGTAGAATAATTATGTATAGAAGAAGATCTCAAACAAGCCTAACAATCATTGACTTATTGTTACAAGGTGCCAAAAAAACAAAGATGAAAAGGTAAATAACACACTGAAATTAAGCAAAATGGAAAAGATGTCCATAGTAAACTATTATATAGCTGCATCACAGTTCCAACCAGAGTGTGTTGATTATTAGTCTAATTCGCCCGAGTGATTGTAACCAACTACTTCCTTTAAATCCACAGAGATAGCTTTTTCGCCTATAAGTTTGCTTCATACTAGTGTTTGCTGCTGATACAACTGGTGTCAATTTCTCAATGTCATAGTTATAAGTCTCAGTTGTTGAATTTGAAGCCTCAAAAGCAACACTGTTACTGTTAGCATGTTTGTCTAGCCATGTTATGATGTCTTCAAAGACCTTTTCGATGTTATCATCAGCTCACCAGATGTTAAACCATGCCACATTCCAGGATACAATTTAAAGGTCTTATCTTTGCTACCGGCTCTCTCGTATAATGCTCTGCTTACTTCTGATCTGTCACTGTATCTGTTTCTCCATGCATTACGAAAAACGGCAGTGTCACCTGCTCAAAATTCAGCCAAATATGGATCAGATATAGTTCAAACAGGTCTTGAATGCTAGTACTATTGTTGAATAAATGCATGCATAGATTAACCTTGTATAAGGTGTCTTCAAGACTCATGCTGGTTCTTAACATTTCTAATGCTGTTTTTAACCTGGGTTTGTCCTGGGTATACAACTTGTTTTTCCTTATCTGCAATCACAGTCAAAGAGAGAGGCGTGTTTTAACACTGTCTTAAGTTTTAGAAGGCTCTGTGTAACTATAGCTTCGATTCAACTCTGACAAAACAACTAGGGGCTTTATTAGTCATGGTTTATCCATGACAAATCTATTATGAATGACGGCCCTGCATGTCAAACAAATCCAATATCCTCTAAACTTCAAGTCATTGTAAGGAAAGGAGAAAAAAATCTCACCCTTTCGCGTTTAGCTGGATCTTTGAAGGCTAAATTGATGACATCTTTTGTTGGAACAATCTTCCACTTTGGTATGATATCTTCTACTTTAGTCAATATGTTAATCACCACTTGGTGTGGCTTCACCTTCTCTGATATCTAGTTTATTGTTTCAACATTTGCATAGGATAAGTCACAATTCATATATCTACTAAGAATTAGAAAACAAATCATTGAAACTACCTTACACATGGGCGCGACAAGAACTGCGCCGTCCCAGAAAGAAGGGTCCTTCTGATGCAAAAGAAGACTAACTGCTCCACCCATGGACTCTCCATACAAGAACCTAGCCTTTCCCTTATACTCTTGGAGCACTGAAATGTAAATGCAAATAAAAATGAAAATGAAAGACGAAACTAAAATGTATATAACTGAATGTATATCCGAATGTTTCGAGTTCATACCAGAAACCGACTTGAAAAAATCATAGCAGTCATTAACAAGGTTATTGAAGTTCTTAATGTAACAACGAACACCTTCAGAACGTCCATGTCCTTCATAATCAACACCATACACAGCATATCTAGCACAAGCTAGCCTCACTCCACATTCTGCACAGATTAGAACAAGGTTGAAAACTTAAATCAAATTTTTTTATACAACAAATTAAAAAAAAATATATTTATATTAACTTTTTTTTTTTATAAACGGGTAATTACTTTCGTAGAATTTAATCTATTGAGAAACAAAATCACTAGCATCATTTTTTTCAAAACTCGGTATCTAGTCCTATGACTGACTAATCTGAGGAAGACCAATTACACCGCCTTTGCGTGAAGTCTTATTTAAAGCCGGAGTTCATCTGGTCTAGCATTTAACAGAATTCGAACCACGGACCTTAAAAGAGGAATATACTCTGAGGTCCCAAATCTACCACACAGGGGTTAAAATCACTAGCATGATATTAATCCAAGCGTAAAATTTTGGTGAAGAAAATGCGAGGACATGGCATGCCCCACCACAAGTACTAGTACTAGGATCGTCCTTTAATGTTCCCTTCCAATGCAAAATGGCATGGGAGGGGTATCAATTATTTCATCAAAATTGTACACCACTATTTGACCTACCAATTCCTTGTAGATATCAATTTCCCATGTTGTTTCTGAGAATTGATTAGCCTAAGTGCAACAACATCAGAACCACACTACACTCTACATTCTTGGTCCTCAACTATTTCTCCAGTTCACCACCATTTCAAGATTCAACTCATTGGTGCATTATTTCTTGAAGTTGACACATCTATTAACAGAATTTTTTCCAATAATGTCACACTGTTGAAACAATTTTCCAACAATGCCACAACCTGAAACGAAATTCCCAAAATGCCACATACAGAGGGGTTCACGCCATTTCAAATGGCGCAAAAGTGAGACCCACTTACAGCATAAGCCATTTTTGAGATAAGCTTTTGGAAAATTGTCAAGTGGATCCCACATTTGTGCCATTTGAAATGGGGTGAACCCTTTTGTGTGTGGCATTCTAGAAATTTCGTTTCAGACTGTGGTATTGTTGGAAAATTATTTCAACAGTGTGACATTGTTGGAAAAAATTCCTATTAACAATAATATTTTAGTTTTGTTGGTTGAGCTAATCAACAACTCTAAGTGGGAATGCTATAAATATAAGGAAGAAGGACTTTTTTTGTAAAATAGGAAGAAAAAAAAGAAAACTTGTAAAATAATTATTGATAAAAATAAGGATATTATAGCAAAATTGGTCACCTAATTGGTAGACAACAAATTGGCATCTTTATATAGACCAAATTGGTCACCTAACTAGTGTATGTTATGTTCAACCATTATCAAATTACTAGTTTTTATGTGTGTTATGTTTTCATTGGAGGCTCAACTACCTACTAGAAAATGACAAGTAATTAACTAAATAGAAAAAACATAATCATCACACAATTACATTTCTGTTTATGTTAAAATAAGTTTAAAAAATAATTATTATAAATTAAATTTTATTTTTCAAATTTATTATATTAGTCATAAAATATATATGTAAACTACTTCATCTTATTCTTTTAATAAGAAATATTTGGGTCAATAATATCTATATATATAAATGTCTTTTATACTACTATCACTTAATTTATTTTTTTTCATTTTCTTTAAACCGATTTCAAATATAATAATACAGTAAAAAGGAAAATGAAAATAGAGAAAAGGAATAATAAACAAGTTATATTATGGAAGAACATTTATTACCTCTCATGAAACGACTGCATTCCATACCATAACCTGCAATAGATATTTAATGAAGCAGAAATAAAATATAATAAAATCACACTTTCTAAGATAGAGAGAGAAATTTAGAATTTCAAAAAACAAAAAACAAATTCATTACCATGACAAAGAAAAACCAGAGCTTTTGGAGAAGACAATGGCAACCATTTGCAAGTGAATAGTTGCACCCCTCTTGTGTTTCTCCAGAACTCCTATTGCATGGTACATACATACAAAATTAATCTCCACAATAATAATAATAATAATATATACTATTAATTAGCATAATATATTTTATTGAGAGAAACTATATTATGATTAATTATTGTAACATATTTGTGTAAAAGAAAAAATACTTACTTCTTGATATCGAAACTCTAAATCCATGGCAACAAATTAATCGATGTGATAGAGTAATAATTATGAATATATTAGCAAGTGATGGATCTGCAAGTGAAAGGGAAACTTGATCTAGCTCTTAATTAGAAGATGATTAAGTAGTTAATGCAAGAAAGTTGATGGTGAGAGATATTAATTAAAGGAGGAAAGAAGAAAAGTTTAGGTACGTGCAGAAGAGAGGTAAGGAGTAAAAATAGAGCGATGTGACAGAAGAAAATATTTATAGTAATAGAAAAGAGGAGATAGAGAAGAGAAGGTGAGAGACTGAGAGTGTGTGTATTAATTTGTGAGTTAAAATAGATTTGAATCCATACGAAATGTCAATATAGAATTTAATCACCTGGTCTGTATATAAAAGTTATTTATTCCATTAGCACATACTCCCTCGCTCTTAAAATAAATGGTTTTTTAGTTTAAAAAATTGTTTTAAAATAATAGACTTTTTTACTTTTTAATGTTAATTAATTTCAATCAACTTTATTTCTTAAAAGTAAAAGTGATAAAATGGGTCGTGGTTTGTTAGGATTCGCGCATCCGTTAATAAATGGTAGATTGGGTTGGGATTTTGGATCCGTCGTCCACCAAAATCTGTTTCGCTAAATATCGTCGTCCGTCAAAATTTGTCACCCGTCAAACTCTTTGCGTCTATTCGTTCAACTTGTCCCACCTTAAGCCCGCCATTTTTAATATTTCTAACCGATTTCATTCTTAATGGTTTTATTTTATACATTTATTTGTGAATATATGTAATATTCTTTAAGTAAATTTTGTTAAAAAGATATTTTATAAAATATTGTTTTAAAAAATAAGTGAAAAATCTAATTGAAATGCAAAATAAAAAATTCTTTTAATATATTAAAAAAATGAAATATTAAATAAAAAATAAGCGGATAATTCCGTAGCCCGCTAATCCGTTATCTTGGCGGAGCGAACTAAATTTTTATGTCTATTTCTATTTGACGGACTTGTCTGCCCCGGTCTTTTTTTTAACGGGCTTAGGTGAGATGGGACAGAGCGGGTGGCCCTTTTTATCACCCCTAGTTAAAAGTAGTATTTACATTTTTTCTAAGTTATGATAAGGTATAACAACTAATAATAATTAAGGATAATTTTATAAAAAAATTACCTTTATTGATTTAATAATTATTTTTCTTAATCAATATATAATAATTTTAAACTATTTTTATTTTGAGACAAATGAAGCATATCTTAATCTTGTGTTGTGGCAATGTATCTCTTAGTTTCAAAACAGTTGTCTTATTAACCATTTATGAAAATAAAGATTTTTTTAATAAAATAAACTTTTTTTTATTATAAAGAGGGCTAAAGCCTAAAAAAAAAAACAAGACTAAACATACACTCGTCTAGAAAACGGTATGCCCTTAGAATCTTCTTTTAACAAACTGATAAGATAATTTGGCACATCATGATTAATCACAATGTCAGGACCATTACTACAACTGATACCAACAAACACATCGGCACACTTATTTACTTCTCTGACACTGTGAGACACACAAACTTCTTCATGCATATTCATAAAACGCTTAATATGGACTATCAACGATGCCCTCTCTCTAACTTTAGAGCAACCTTTATCAATCTCCTGAACCACCAAGATAGAGTTCATATCTACTTCAATCCTCCCATATCCCCTAGCTAACATTATCATGAGGCCTTCATCCACTTCCCATAATTTAGATATGAAAGCATTACAATGTCCCAAGAACTTAGAATACCCTCCTGTGATACGGTGAGAGAACTGGCTTGAGGGGTTTTGCGTTTTATCGTAAATGTTGCGGTTAGCAAGAGTCGCCACCGACTTTTCTTTTATCCAAAAGGAAAGGTGAAAAAGCACATGAAAGACCTTTGAGATTATTTCTTGAGTTCGGGGGATAGATTATGAAAAGGGAAGGTATTAGCACCCTTTTTATCCATGGTTATCCATGGGCTCTTAGTTACTTGCTAGATCACTTGCTTTTGTTTGAAATTGTGTTTTGTGTGTTTTTTTGAAAGTATTTTGTAAATAGGCCATTATTTAGGCAATCTTTATAATGATTCTCGTTCGTAAGAATGTATACAAAGATGTTGATCTTTTGAAAATGTTTTCAAGTTTTGTGAGATGTTTTGAAAGTGTAAGTGTTTGTTTTTGAAAATAGCAAGGATGTTTGTTTTGAAATGGAGCAAGTAATTAGGAGCAATCTACCTACTCAAATGTCTTTCTTGTTCATTTCCTTTTCCTTTGACATTATTGTCTTACCATTTATTTGGTAAGCAACCCTATCTTTGGATGTAAATGGGACGGACATGGGTCATCGTATAACCATGATTAGCAATGTTGCAAGGTATCTTAGCATTCTTTTTGAGGGACTAAGATCATTTGTAAGGCAACTTAGATAGGGTCATCGAGGGACTATGATCTTGTATTTGTTTGTTTTGGCTAAGATACCTTACAAGCGTAATATGGCCATTTTGTAAAGGCAACCAAGTGGATTTATCCTAGGGGTGCTTGTGTGCAAGTGTATTGTTTTCAAGCTTGATTTTGTCTTGAATTAGGGTTTTTTAAACACTGGTTTTAGTCTTTCCATACAAATCCTAATTACTAACATTTGTATATAAATCGATAAATTGCATAATTTAAAGTTACTACGCTATTACAATACTTGTGGGAGGGGGTGTACAAATTATAAATGGGGATTGCAAGAAAATAAACCTAGTTAATCTATTACAACCATATTGAATTGGTACAAGAATTGAATAAATAAATGTACAAAAATAGATAAATATGCAAGAATGTAAATGCAAAGAAAAATAGATATTTGTTTGATTTTTCATGAGAAAAGGGGTTTTTGATTTAACCTAATTAACTAAAGAAAAATAATTTAATTAAAAGTGGAATTTAAATTTACTAGAAAAGAATTTAAATAAAAACCCTAGTTTTTAATTGATTAAAAGAAATTGAGTTTAAGAAATGTATTTTTTGTATTTTTGTTTTGAAAATAAATTATAGTATTATAAAATATTTTTTGCCCTTTTTTATATTAAAATAATATATTTTAATTGGTGTAGAAGAAAATAAATAATAACCTAGTTTTAATTAAATTTACAAGAATAATTAGTAAAATAAATAAAGTATGTGTGATACGGTGGGAAGAACTGACTGTTTTTGGAATGCTGGTTTGCGTTTTGCGTTTGTGTTTGCAAAATGTCGCGGTAAGCAAGAGTCGCCATCGACTTTTATTTTATCCAACGAGGAAAGGAAAAAAGCACAGAAAAATTCCTTTTTCGAGATATTTCTCGGGTTCGGGGGGTAGATTATAGAAAGGGAGGGTGTTAGTACCCTTTCTATCTGTGGTTATCCACGGGCTCTTAGGTACTTGCTCATATTTTTTTCAAAATGGTTTTCTTTATGCTTGTGGGTTTGAAAAAGTTTTTATTTGAAACTTCGATTTAACTCTTACTTCTGTCCTCAACAGATTATGAAGTGTTTTGAAAATTTTGTTCGAAAAAGTGTAAGTGTGAAAAAGATTTTTTGTTTTTTTTTAAAGAACAAGTATCTAAGAACCATCTACCTACTCGAAAAAGGAATCGTTCTATGTTAATTTCCTTTAGATAATGTTATCCCACTATGAATGAGTAGGTAGCACCGTCGCTGGAGTTTGAGGGTCAATTCGAATGAGGGACTTACGGTCACTAAAGCAATGTTAGGACGCCTTAGCGGTAACCCTAATGTCTTAGATCATTTGTTTTGAGGCAACAATATCCGAGGCAACCGTTTCGAGGCGACTATGATCTTTAGACAAGAGGACGACCTCTAAAGTGACATTGTGATACGGTGGGAGAACTGACTTGAGGTTTTGCGTTTGTATTCGCACTTGTTCGGTTTAGCAAGAGTCACCACCGACTTTTTATTTTATCCTAAAGGAAAGGTTAAAAAGCACAGGAAAAACCTTTGAGATGTTTTCGTGGGTTCGGGGGGTAGATTATGAAAAGGGAAGGTGTTAGCACCCTTTTCATCCATGGTTATCCATGGTGTGATCGGTGGATCTGGAACTGACTGTTTAACGCTGGTTCGCGAAATGTCGCGGAAGCAAGAGTCGCCACCGTCTTTTATTTTCTCCAATTGGAAAGGACAAAAGCACAGAAAAATTCCTTAAAGAGATTGCTCTCGGTTCGGGAGGTAGGTTATAGAAAGGGAAGGTGTTAGCACCCTTTCTATCCATGGTTATCCATGGGCTCTTAGATACTTGCTCAATGTGTTTTCAAAATTGTTTGTTTGCTTTTCAATGTGGGTTTAAAAGTTTCTTTTGAAAAATTTCAGTTCGACTCGTACGTCAGAGTGTTTGAAAGGTTTGTTTTGAAAGCTTTTGAAAAGTGTCAGTGTGAAAAGTCTTTTTGAGTTTGCTTTGAGATTAGAGCAAGTATCTACGAGAACCTACCTACCCTAAGGAATTCGTCTGTGTAGATGTCCTTTAAAGTAGTACCATCCCACCATTGAGAGGTAGGTAGCACCACCGTTGGAGGTGTTCGGGTCAATTCGAGGGTTCGGGACATGGTGATCACCGGAGCAATGGGAAGACACCTTAGAAGCTACCCTCATGCCAGGTTCCCGGATCATGAGGACTTACTAAGACATCCTCTACTCGACGATCACCTTTCGAGGCAAGGCAACAGTGAGGCGTACCCTAGGGGTGGTGTGTGATTTGTGTGTCAGGTTCGTTTATTTTTGTCTTGTCATGGTATAGGTGATCTACGCGTTTGTTTTTATTTAGACATTCATTCTTGCATGCAATTATTAACAGTTAAAAAAGTTGCGGAAATTAAAGTTCCTAAACTATTACAAAGGCGCGGGTCCACATCGCCAAAATTAAACCGGACCCGATTTAGCGGAAAAAATAAATAATGCGAAGAAATAAAAGTGCGAGAAATTTAAATTACATGGCTTTGGGATAATTACATAATTATAATAAACGATAAAAGATAAATGC